AAGGGGTGTTTGGCTAAGTTTTTTTAAAACAATTTATTAGGTTCCACATCACTATAAGTTAAAAAAGTGTTTGGATTAAAATAACTTATTCCGGTGGGGAACCTCTAATATATCATTTTTTTCATAAGTTACCCTACACTTACTTATTAACTTATAAGCTAATAAAGTAATAAGCAATAAACTTTTTTGCCAAACACCCCCTAAATGGTTATTACTTCCATTTATACATACCCAAACCACTTGTACTGTTTATCGTCCTCTTTTTTTTTTTTTTCGTTTTCCTTAATTCCTTTATTAGTTTAATGTCCTACTAAGTAAAATGTTAAAATATATAAATAATAGTTTATAAAAATAAACCTTTAGAATATCAGGTGTTGTGATTCAAAAGTCGATAAATAGGCCTTTGAAAAGGCCAAAATACTCAAGTGTCAACTTATTCATTGTGATTTTAAATCAAGTTTAGTCACAAATTAAAAAAATTTCAACGATGGTATGTAATTCAAGGATTCATATTGATTTAGGTTCTCGAAACCATAAAATATTGAACAAAATCTATATAGAACCTTATAATAAGGACAATAATCACTGTAATCAGGAAGTTCATGTGATGAAACTTGATATTATAAGGACCAATGATGAAAAAGGTTTCATTTTTAGACTAAACAAGCTGAAAAATATACAAACTACCTTAATCATGTCAAATCTTGTGTTTAACCGTTCTTTATTGCAAAAGTAAGATGTCAAAATATACAAACTAATGATAATACAATGCTCTAACTGGCCCTCTTGGTTGAGTTCTTTGAACCTGCAAAGCCAACACATTAAAGAAATATAGTAAAAACCTTTTTATGAACAAAGCTGATATAATAAAGCTTTCATATAATATATTTATAAGATAAAAATATAAAAAGTTAAAAATGATGAAATCAATTACAAGTAAGGATTAAAATAAAAACATGTTAAGAAAGATTCATCTGCAAGAGGGATATTTGAATCAACATGTATTTTCTGATGGTTTCAAATTTTGAATTATCCGAAATTCAGGGAAGAAGATAGAATTTGTTGAGAAATATAAGGATTCAAAACACATGTTAAAATTTAATATTATTTTATTGATGACTACTTGTCCTATTAGCTTAATGATTTGAACGTTTTAAAAAAATAATATTATTATATTCAATCTATTTTTAGAAATAGTGAGATTTCTTTTATAAGATAATATATATATATATATATATATATATATATATATATATTAAATTTTCCGTGTTTATTTTATGTATGTTTGATTGTTTTCTACGTATGAATCGGTTCACATATAATATATTTTTATTGTTTGAATTTTTGTTTGTTAAACTTTTTATTAACAAAATCTAAAATACTTATTTTTATGAAAGTGTCGGTATAAATTCTTGTTTCTTTTCATTTTCATACTTATTTTTATGTACGTTTTCTAAATATGAATTTGATCATATATAATACGTTTTCATTTGATGATATATATTAAAGTTAGTCAATTGTGGTACTCATATTGTATATTTATCTGACAACAAATATAATATTACCTAATTTTTCAGGCAAATTGATATCGCTTAACAACTAAAAAATTAATAGAAAAAACATGGTGTTGTTTAGAAAAGCAAAATTATTGTGTACAAATTCCATGATATTCTAATGGGCGATGATATTGCCACGATACTTTTTGATACGTCCACTGAAAGTCTATTAAGATTGACAGTTATGCCCTCTGTTAACTTAAGAGAGAGAAATATTAATCTTTTTTTTTTTCAAAAAATGCAAACACCTGAAAACTCCAAACCACACTCAACAAACATACAATTCTTTTTCATTTGGTGTTGCCTTAGCCGATTCTCCTCGGCCACCACCATCGGTACAAATAGTAGCCAAAAATTGATGGTGAACATGGTGGGTGATGGTGGTGGAGCTTCTTATTTTGAGTTGTGAGTGCAACTTGAAGCAGTGAACACCATCAAAAGAACGATGGGTGTTAATATTATATAAAATTGCCTAAAAAAACTAATTTTCTTCTCTCCCTGTTCATGTGATGCAAACCTAACAGCTGGATTTGTTTGTTTTTTTTTTTTTTTTTTTTTTTTTTTTTAAATTTTATTCCATTCATGTACAGAAACATAGTAGGGAGTGAGAGGGGTTACATAAATCAACGTGATATGTAAAATAGACAGCCACCGGAAACACAACAAGCATCAACAAGATTCGGTTTCCATCAGATATAGTCTGGAAACACATGAGAAGGACATGGGGAAGTAACTTGAACTGAAACAAGACGTTCTGATCTAACATCTCTCAAATTCAGCAAAAATCTAGCCACGCCCACTTCATAGATGCAAAAAACAGCTTCAAATTCAGGAAAAAAAAGTTAAAACTAGAAGTCGCAATTATCAGAAAAGACGAGAAAATTGGTAAGAGATACTTACAGAATATCGGCGTGTTAAATATAAGCTTCAAGAGCTTTAAGCGAATCCTTGAAAACTTTCCCCATTACCATGATCCTTTTCAAAAACATAAATTAAACTCTCATCAAACACCCGGAAAGTTTCTTTAGAAAAAATCGAGTAAATGAAAAAGAAAAAACACTATTAGCAATTTGCAAACGCTATTCCGATGAACACGAAATTCCCAACATTGGTTTTGACGGAGCAGATTTATCTGTGCGTTTCTTAAAAATAATCAATTTAGAGAACAATGCCGATTTCTTATACGCGGAAGAACAATGTCGTCCCTTTTTTTTAAAAAAAAAATCAATTTAGAGATGTTAGATCAAATTCTTATTCACCGGTGTCTTCTGCTTTTAGAGTTCGTATGTCTGTTTTAAACAAAAATAAAGTCGCTCTCTTTTAATTGAATAAGGGCATAATTATAAATCTCTATTTGCTTCAGTGGAAATATAAAAAAATAGAGTGGCAATATCAGCTCCCTGTTCTAATACAACAACTTTGTATATGTTTTAACATCTCACCCCTCATAAAATGATAAAACGACAAGGTACACCTTTTTGCCGTAATGAACATATGATCTTCCACTCCACCCCCATGAAAACGGAACTATTTTCCGCGTTTCTCTTCCCTCTCTCTCACTGAAAACCTAATCGAATACACAATCTCAAAGCTTCCAATTAGAATCACACTTGCCAAATCAGGGTATAAGGGATTTTAATTTTCTTCTACCGAATCAACCGATCTGTTCCTGAATCAATGGGGAAAGGAGGAGCTTTTAGTGAAGCCGTATTGAAGAACATCATCCTTTCCTACACTTACGTCGGCATATGGATCTTCCTCAGCTTCACCGTTATTGTCTTCAACAAGTACATCCTCGATCGAAAGATGTACAATTGGCCTTACCCCATCTCACTCACCATGATCCACATGAGTTTCTGTTCTTCTTTAGCTTACATCCTCGTCAGCATCCTCAAAGTCATTGAACCAGTTCAGATGACTCGTGACGTTTATCTAACATCTGTCGTCCCAATTGGTTTGCTCTATTCTCTTAGCTTATGGCTTTCCAATTCCGCCTACATTTTTCTATCTGTTTCCTTTATTCAAATGCTTAAAGCCTTGATGCCTGTTGCTGTTTACTCCATTGGTGTTTTGTTCAATAAGGAAAACTTCAAACCCAGAACCATGTCCAATATGCTTTCCATTTCTCTTGGTGTCGCTGTTGCTGCTTATGGTGAAGCACAATTCAACGCATGGGGAGTTGCATTACAGCTTGGGGCTGTTGCTTTTGAAGCTACTCGTTTGGTTTTGATTCAAACCTTGTTGAGTTCAAAGGGTATTACGTTTAATCCCATCACTTCGCTTTATTATGTATCCCCTTGTTGTTTTCTTTTCTTGTCTATTCCTTGGATGATCGTTGAGTACCCATTGTTGAGCGAGGCTTCAAGTTTCAAGTTTGATTACATGATGTTTTTAACGAATTCTTTCTGTGCTTTTGCATTGAATCTTGCTGTGTTTTTGCTTGTTGGGAAGACTTCTGCGTTGACTATGAATGTGGCTGGGGTTGTTAAGGATTGGTTGTTGATCGCTTTTTCTTGGTCTGTTATTAAGGATACTGTGACTCCTATTAATCTTTTTGGTTACGGGATTGCTTTCATGGGTGTTGCGTATTATAATCATGCCAAGTTACAGGCACTTAAGGCTAGGGAATCGGAGAAGAAGCCTGATCACACTGAGGCAACAAAGCTGTTGGAGGAGAGTAAACTTGAAAATGCAATAAAGAAGAGTGAGTCTGCAAATTAAGATCATGAAGTTTGTCGGGTCTTGACTCTTGAAAGAAGCTTTAGCCGCACCCTCCATTGCTTATAACTAGCTTTTGCTTGCTTTGGTTTGTAATCTAACTTTTATACTTGTTTGGAGATTTCACGTAAAGTTTGAGGAAATAATTAAGGTGCATTTTGAGTTTGATCAAGAAGCTCTACAAGGAAATATGTGCATTGTAAGGTAATAAGGATTATTTGTTTGGGCAAATCAAATTTTTACTTCTTTCTTGAGCCATTTGTGTGGCTTTATGAATGAAGATCATCAATGAATAGAATAATTCATTCAAATCCAGTGGATATGACATTGTCCTACAAACTTGATGCATTTGTTGGTTTCTCTTTTGTTAACTTTCTCGATATTTCCTTAAAGAAAGTTAAATATTTAGGAATTTGTGGTTTGTTATCAAGTTGGTTAACAACTTGTGTATTTTCATTATAGGGCGGGCACACTGATTTTAGCTGACCGAATGGTATCAGTACATTTCTAATGTCACATCACAATACCCAAGTTAGTGACAACTTAGCCAATATCACTGTTGGTGTCAAGATTAACCTCGAATGTTTCAGAAACGAAGAACCAAACAATAAATGTAATTCTGTTAGTATATTGATATTGAGCTCACGTGGTTGTTAATTAGTTGAAGCGCGTGTGAGTTTATTAGTTTGTTACTGTTAATTTAGTGAGTTAACATTTTGTATATATGTACTAGATTGTATGTATGTAACATTATTATACTAATCAAACACAAAAGCTTTAGCCTTACTCTCTCTCTCTCTCTCTCTCTCTCACACACACACACACACATTGTCCATCAAGATGGTATGGAGCACACTTTTATGCTCATCGATCCTTTCATCTAAATTCCTTTTTCTGTTTTCGAGTTGATCCTTCATCTGTTTCTGATCTAAATTTCCACATCGATCTCTTCAAAATCCTCTCAATTTGCTTAAACTCACAATAAGAACATTTGTTTTGATCCTTTATACCTTCATCCTTCATATCACCCAAGAATGTTATTAGTTTCTAAAAAGTTCAGTTCATGGAAAAAATCTATAATGATAGCTTTATCGGCAAACAATAACCTAGGATTTGTGAATTGTTTGTGATTTTAGTGTCACCATGTCATTTTATGTAACTAGAACTAACATTTGAGCTAAGAGGCTTCATAATTTGTACTCTAATATGTGTACGGGTTTGTGCGGAGTGCACACATGTATAAAACCAAATTAGAAGCTGGTTCGAGGACAAGTCGGGGATCCAGTGTAACATCTTAAAATTTAGGGCCAAAAATTTCATTTTTAATGTAACTAAAAACACTATTGTAACTTTGTTCACACATAGAAAAGCATTTCAAATAAACATTTATCAGAGTTCATTCCCAGAGATCATACATTGCGGAAAAACACGGGTGCATTCGCTGCGATTATCTCGGGTTCCTTCACTTGAAAACTGGAGGTACCTGAAACCAAAATTGAAAACCGTAAGCACGAAGCTCAGTGAGTTCCCAAAATACCACATACCATACATATCAGCATACTGCCTAGCATATCTGGGTGCTGGCCTACCCATTTGGTCTCTTTCAACCGGATACTATCTAGCATATAAGCACATAAATTACATAGTATCATACATAACCATGAGCCATACATATATCATAATCAATAAAGGTGCTATGTGCCAATACATAGTCTTGCCATTATGCCACAGGCCACTACGTGGTCTTTCTTGCCAAGCCAGGGGCCACCCTCTCAATCTTACAGACAAGTGTCAAGAGCCACATCTTGGTTTCTCATGCAAGCATCACAAAGACAACTACATACATACTAATTAACATAGCTAATTAGCATATACTGTGCCAGGGCTAACCCCCGGGTCTTCCTACCATTCATAATAGCATACAGTGTGCCAGGAGCCGCCTCCTGGTCTTTCATACATAATGCCTAGGGCTAACCCCCGGGTCTTTCTATAATACATAAACCAAATGGGCCGGTATTGGTGCCTTCGACCCATACACACAGTGAGGAGACTCGCCTCGCACTGTAAAATCCCTGCGGATAAAGCTGTGGATGTTGGCTGACAGATCCCCAAATTGTCAATCATCAAAACTGCACCCAAATAATAATTTGGTTCCAATGCATAACCATAACTCCATACTTGGGGGTAAAGAGACTATTTTACCCCTAACCTAGTTTTGACCAAAATCAAGGCCCAAACTAAAACTCTAGAGGCCCAAAAGCCAAATAATAAATCAAATCCCAAAATTTGGCCTAATTTTCCAAATTAGGCCCATACCTCTATGTGGTCTTACCTTAAGGCCCAACCATTTATTCTAGTCCGAACACTTGGCATTTCGATGGTCCAATATCTCATAATCATCAAGTCCCAATTATGGCCCACCTATGGCCTAATTTTCCAAATTGAGCCCAAGCCTTTCCAATGAGCCTTATCCTAAAGCCCAATAATTTCCTTAGTCCATATACTTGTTCCCAATTGGCCCACGAAGGCCCACAACAACTTAGTCCAAGAAATGACCCAACAAGAACCCAAACCTAGTAGGGTTTTTCACATTAAATGACGATTAGGGTTAAGTATTCTTACTTAACCCATTAATTCCATCACTTTACTAGGTCAACCATACAATGTGGTTGGGATTAATTCATAATTCAATTCTAATGGTCCAAAATGCGGGTCCCGACAACTCCAAAACTAATACATCCAAAATTAGGGTTTTTCTAAACCCTAATTAGGGTTTCCAACCTAATCGCATGCCGATTAGACAAGTGGTTGAATTTTTAGGTTTATAAATGTTAATTAAGTCGGGCACCACCCACTACCACCTCGGGTAGTGGTGGTCAATGGCGGCTCACGGCGGCAGCCACCACCTCACGACGATAGTGGTGGTTTTTCCTTCAATCTTCCGCCAAAAATGCTTAAACACGTTCCATTCTACTAAACACAATCACAACACCAGATCATACACATACAACCACCACCATACGGCAGCTGGTGGTGGCGAAGTGGTGGCGGTGGATTTTCGGCCACATAAAGCACACACACATGCATTAAACTTGTAACAACAACACACGAAACTAATAAGGAGTAGAATCACAGAAAAACACACCCATCATGGCTGCCCTCGAGGTGACAGTGGCGGTCGGAGCAGCGGCAACACCTCTTTAGTCGCTCGGAGTGATGCCGGCAACGTGGTCATGGCTGCGGTGTATCACTGTAATAATGGAGAGAAAGGCTGAAGCGAACGACAGTAGTAATAACGACAGAAAAGAAGAAGAAGACTCATGTCTGTGGTCCTCGTCGGCAACTAGAGCGACGTCGAAAACTAGAGCGACATCGGTGCTGGATAGCGGCATGGACGTTGGCGTCTGCTGGACACGACGATGGCGAATGAGAAAAGTTGAACCTTGACGATAGCAGCGGTGCTACACGGTCCAGCGACCCACTGAATCGACGTCACATGAGGCTCTTCCTCGCTGTCGGCGGTTGCACCGATGGTTTGCCTTTGATCGGCGACACCGGGTGACTACGAGGCGGCGACGACTGGTGATAGGGGACATAAGGTTGGCGGTTGGACGGTGTCTTTAGGGTTAGGGTTTGGGAAGGAGACGAGTTTATACCTACTGATATAAGATCTTTGCCCATAATACACTTTCAACTTAAGTACTTAATTTACCCTTCAGCCCCCAGCATTCCAAAATCCCTTCAAATTAAGTATAATATTTTACCAAACACCCCTAACTTATGAAAATTTTTACAAAATAAATCCCGAAATTATCCTTTAACTCCGAAAACCCAAATTATATCATTTGCCCCCCCCCCCTCGAAACCAACACCCCGCTAAATATTATGAATTTTAGGGCTACTATTCATTTATCAATTTTTAACTGGTTATTTATTTAATAAATGAGATGTTACGTCCGCGGGCAGCATCCCTAGGTCCAGGGTTTCAAAAGGGGCAGTGCCCCTTTGGCGAGGTTTAGGGGCAACGCTCCTAGCGGTGTCAAAGGGGCAGTGTAATAACCGGTTATTTCGGGTCAATAAAAGTCAAGCCATGTCAATAAAAGTCAAGTCAAGTCAATAAAAGACAAGACAAGTCAATAAAAGTCAAAGCATGTGAAATAAAAGTCAATTAGATAATTCATAAAAACATAAAGTGTAGTTAATACCTTACTTTTGAGGTTTTCGATTTTTAGAATCAAAAACCACCAAAACCGAAATCACTTTTGTGGAACAATTAAGGAATGAAATCCCTTTAGCCTTGACCGAGAACCACCCCACCGAGGGCCCTTCCATGACCGAAAACCCTATAGACCGAAATCACTATGGTTCTCGGTTGGAGCTTTTAGACCGAAATCTTGAGATTTCAGTATAGATAAGCTAAAATCTCTCATTTTAATCGGTGGCGCACTATTATGGATGATAAATTACACATTTCAAGGCATATTTCACATCCTATTTTATCCCATATATAAATACATAAACCGAAATCACCCCCATTTCTCAATTTCACTTCATATTCTCTCATAGAATTCTCTTTCAAAGTTCTTAAGATCTTCAAATCTTCAAGGTTTCCCTCAAAACCAGCTTCATATCTTTAATAGTTTCTAGAACATCTTCAACATTTTCCCAGGAAGAACAAATCCTTCAATTAATTCATAGGAATTAATCGGTAAGTTTTCTTACATAAACAAGTGTTATTTAACACTTTAAATTGTTAGTTATCTAATTTGCACATGTATTATCTGTTAAAAACTATTAGGATTACGACTAATTTCACGTGTTCAAGCTTGACGAACATCCCTAACACTACGTTATCCAGTCAAGAACACACCCGAAGTGAGTTCATACCCCTACTTTTTCCACGAATTTTTCTATGTTTTTTTTTTGGTGGGGGGGGGGGGGGGGATACAAGTAAAACACAAGAAAAATTGTGTTAAAATACAAAACAATTTCACAGATTTTTACTACCTTTTGTGCAAAAATACTAAAATACACAAAACAGATTTATTTCCAAACCCGTGGGTATATACAGTTTTACAGAAATTTCAAAGTTATGAAGTTTTTGTACAAATAACATTACGGTTTTCTTATGAATATATATATATATATATATATATATATATATATATATATATATATATATATATATATATATGAAAGAAACATATGATTGGATTTCAATAAATAAATTATATTATAAATAGTTTATGAAACTTTGACACTTTTGTAATATATATATATATATATATATATATATATATATATATATATATATATTTGAATCATTTTATTATCATAGTAAAAATGATAACGTTCAAACAAAGGATTATCCCGTACAACAGAACATTTTGATAAACTATAATATGTATACTTTATGATACATACATAGTATTTTATCATATCAAGATACAATACAAAAATAATTATTTAAAGGCATAATTCTCTTGAACTACATGACTACTATGGAAGGGTAATACTTCCACATTACAAAATGGCTTTTCGTTATACTACACGTAAATAGTCAATACGACACTTGTGAGACACGTCTTCAAGTACTTATCTAAGTACCAACAAAAGTCTTGTATTATAACCAGAATCTCCCGTAAGAGAGCGTGATATTTTTGTATAGATCTATACGGGACTAACAATCTCGCACCTTAACTGTTAGCTACATTTGATCGACAGGT